ATTTCCTTTATCCAAAAAAAAAAATATATATATATATTTTTTAATCTTCTTCTAGTCAAGTTCTGATTATTAAGCCATCGAGGCTAGGTCAAGTGGGTACTATCTGTAAGTTTGGGCATTTTTGTGCATCTCCCCTCACTTCTTATCAGCTGGATGCTTCACTCTCAGCTGTAGCTCTCCAAGGCTATGTCTCGTGGACTTGTTTTAAGGAGAAACAGCTGTAAAAATCCATTAACAATCTGAACACAGAATGTACCAAGTATGACCGTAAGAAAATTGGAAGTTGACAAAAATGAACTAGAACACATAAACATTGATCTCCTAGGTCTTAGTGAGCTGAAATGGACTAGCATTGGTCATCCTGAATCTCACAACCACATCATCAATACTGTGGGGCTTTCACTTACCAAAGCCATTACAAGGGGATGTCCTTCCTTTATTTATTTGGCACACTGCCAGGCACTCCTTATGTAAGGGTACTCTGTATCAACAAGTGGCTGAGTATAGAGGAACCACAGGGACGGCCTTAACACCATAGGTGGTACCAGACACAGGGGCATGGTTGGCCATGTCTAGGCCTGAAGGGACAAGGGAGGGAACCGTGAGTTGAACCTGGTGAGAAAGGGCTGTGTGGAGAGGCTGGGAGATGGCAACCGTGGCTTCATGCTCCTGAACTGTGCAGGGAGGAGGCCAGGGGAAGAAAGACCAATCACACTCTCCTCCTTCTTTGCAGTTTCCTGCCAATGTCTCCCATTGGCGGTACCAACTGGAACCCAACTTGAAACTGAGGGCACAGGAACCAGTGGTGCAGCCCATAGACGTCAGCCTCCTGGGGCACCGTCAGGGTGACGAAGGGCAGAGAGTGAGTGTGGACCTGGATGGGCAACGGGAAGCTCTTCAACACGAGCACCTTTCCCTTGAGAGCTAAAGCCATATTTCCCTCTGTCTCCCCACGGGCTGGTTAACTTCTCCAGGACCTAAGGACAGGGTCAGGGATATATTTAATACATGCTTCTGGAATGAAGGCATCATCTCATAAGAAAATAAAATAAGGCAATCTGTGAAATATCATAGACACGGGTCCCAGGTGACACATGGGCCTGTGGTGATGCCGTCAGAATTGTTAGGCACAAAGTACTATGTGTCAGGCACTGCGGTCAGTGCTTTAAGTGAACGATTACTTTGACTCTGACAAGAAATCATGAAGGTAGTTGACGCCGTGATTCACATTTTAACAAGTGGGGAGACAGGTAACACGATTAGTGAGCACAGCCACGATGTGATGCAGAGGGAGCGGCCTCCTTACCTAAAACATTGTCAGGACATTTCCTACTACACCAAGTAGTAGAACAATTGATGGGGATACGCCAGGGTCTTGTGAAGGCGTTGTTGTTTTTAAGTGCTTTGGAGTCAGTTCTGACTCATAGCAACCCTGTGGAGGATTTTTGCGGAGCAGCTGGTGAATTTGAACCACCGACCCTACAGTTCAAACCTACCTTTTAGTTCAGTGCATTATCCCACAAGCCACACCAAGACTCCTCGTGTGAAGGAAGACAGCCTCTTATGCCTGCAGCTGCTCAACAGCTTCCTCCAATGTTAAGAACCAATGCTTCCTGGGTGTGCACTTCTTGTTGTGCCCAATCCCTATGCCACCACCCGCCCCGGCCTGCCCTTCACTCTGTCACCAAATCATTGGACATGATGACTAGAAGAAGAAACATCAAAAGCTCAGAGAAGGAAAGGGACTTGCCTGAGAAAATTTCCGTCTTGCAATTCCTTCCTCGCCGAGGGCTTGGGCCTTTGAACTTGGAATAAATCCTTTTGGTTCTTTAGTAGCAGTAATGGTGGTAGCCTTCTGGGCCAGGCTGCAAAGAGAAAATGGAAGTGTGTCGGGCTGGGCTGGCAGGCAGTGCTGGCTTGGACAGAATTAGCAACTTGTTGTGAGGGCTGGGACCACCGTCTGCCCTCCTAGGTCACCCCATGACTTCGAGGCAGTAGCCAGAGCTGTGCTCTCTCTTCTTTCTTCCAGAGATTTCTGAGACAACAGGGAAAGCACCTGCAGTGTGTTGTTGTTGTTAGGTGCCATCGGTCAGTACCTACTCATCGCCGCCCTATACACAGCAGAACGCAACACTGCCCGATCCTGGGCCAACCTCACTACCTGCAGTGTAGCCGGGCCTCAATCAACAATCTCCTGCCCTTGAGGCTAGTGTTGCCCACCTGTCTCTAGTTCATGCTAGGAGGCATTGTGGGATCCTGAAAAGGGTTCAGGCTGGGCTAAAAGCCTGGCTTTATCAGTTACTCATCAGACCAGTTACTTAACCTCCTGGCCTGGCTTTCTCTTCAGTAATGAGGATAATAACAGAGGCCTGTGGGTAGGCACGTGGATTCAATGAGATAATGCAAAGAATAGAAATTGTTCTCCACCTCCTCCTCAGGCTCAGGTAGAGTGGAAGGCACTGGGATATATTGAGGCTTTTTCTTACAGATTAAAAAGAAAAAGAAAAAAGAAAAAAAAAAGGCTACTTTGTGTGATTTAAAACATTTAATTGGATTAAAAATTCAAATATGAATTCAAACTTTTTACAAGTATAAACAAAGGTAGGGGTTGTCCCTTCCTCTGCAGTTTTACCCCGAGATTACCAATGGAGTCCTGGTGTGGCGCTGCAGGATAATGCGCTGGACTGCAAGGTCCGTTTGAGTTCCAAGGTGGGCGGTTCAAACTCACCAGTCGCTCCGCGGAAACCCTACACAGAGTCACCCTATGAGTCGGAACTGAGCCTACGGCACTTAATAACAACCAATGTTCAGCGGTGCCTCCATACTATAAGCACTAGACTGCGGACCACAAGGTCCATGGTTTGAGCCCGCCAGTCGCTCAGGGGGAGAAAGATAAGGCTTTCCGTTCCCGTGAAGATGATACAGGGTCGCTATGAGTCGGAACCGACTCGACAGCACCTAACAACAACCAATGTTAATGAGGCCTGGTGTGCGCTGTGGGCACAGCACTGGACTGCTAACAAGAAGTTGGGGGTTCAACCCCACCAGTCACTCCTTGGAAACTAACAGTGTCGCTGAGTCGGCATGGATTCGGTGGCACACAAGGACAATACTAAAGACCCCTGCACAAATATCCTCATAAATTGTGCTTTAACTTCTACGAGGTAATTTACCTGAAGTACGATGACTGGGTCAAAGTCATTTCACAGTTCACACATTTGAACAGTCCCGGAGAAGGTTACTTTCTCCAGACTTTGTGGAGTTTCCTTCATGGAAATGCATCCGGATTCTTTCACGTTTCAAGCCAGCAACGCCTTCCAGTGGCTAGCAGCATTCCCAAGAATGCTCAAGGGCAGGAGGAGAGAGATAGCTTGAGGTCTAGTTTGACCCCGGACAAGCGACATCCCCTCCCTGGGTCTCGGTTGTGACCAAGAGTAGGTTCAACCCGGGCCTAGACTAGATGCCCTCAAGTCCTGGATTTTATGGTCTGTTTGGTTCCCTCAGGCCGGTAGGCTGCGCTGCACCCCCGCTCGCTTTCATTAACGGTCCCTGGCACCGCCCAGCTTTTCGAGACCCTGTTAAGTGTGAGTCCATTCAGACCCAGAGGGACACCGCATAGGGTTTCTGTGGAGGGACTGGTGGATTTGAACCGCCAGCCTTGTGGTTAGCAGTCCAATGCTTATCCTATAGTGCCAGCCACACCGCTAGAGACAAGACGCCAGAAAGGGTAAAGCAGCCACTACAATTAATCCCTCACCTGTGATCGGTCATCTATTACTCCCGTCTGGTTTTGGCTCGCTCTCTCGTTCTCTGTTCGGCTATTAAGTGCTCCTGCCTGAACCTGGCAAGAAGCCGAGGAGCGCGCTAGTTCGGCCCTTCCTTTACTTTTGCCTAGCTCCGCTCTCCCGGAGGGACTGTGGAGTAATCATAGTAATCTCCGTCTCGGCTAGCAACTTATGCCCCCTTTACCTATCGCTTCCGGTTCCGGTAGTAGCTAGTAACTTTCAGGTCCGGTTATGGCAGGTAGTCGGCTGGAAACCGTGGGAAGCATCTTCTCGCGGTGAGTGTTGGAAGCTCAGGGTTTTCAGCGGGTCATGCTATTCCTTGGGTGGGTCTGAACCGTTACTGCTGTCTTCCTTGGATCAGACATTCTCTAGGGTGAGGGTGTGCGAACCGGCTGAGACCCATTCTCTTGCTTCGAATGATTGTGCTTGACATTTTCCCTTGATTTTCTTATTTGTCACGTTGAAAATTGTCCCTCGTCGGGTGGAGGCTTGTAGGAACAAGGGAGGAAGACGCTGATGGGTCCGGTTGTACTGTCCTTGCACTTAACGTGACGGATGGAGGTGGGATGAGAGAGAATGAGGAAGAGATGGGGGACGGGGAAAGCGACTTAACTCTCTAAGCATTGCTAATTAGCTTGGTTTGTGGAACTGTCTTTCCTGTAGGTAGGGAACCAAGCTACTCCTCGCCTCTCCTCGGTGATCCCTCTGATGTTCTAGGCTTAGCTGGACTGATTCAGTGCCTTTGGCCGGCTGTTGTAACTGGCCTTAGTTCTTTTCCCTTTAAGGACTCGGGACCTTATACGGGCTGGAGTGTTGAAGAAGAAGCCTCTGTGGTTGGACGTATATAATGCCTTTCCCCCGATGAAGGAGCCGGTCTTCCTAAGGCCCCGCTTGCGATATGGCAAAGCCAAAGCTGACATCCAGGACATTTTCTACCATGAGGACCGGATAAGAGTGTGAGTATCTAGAGCAGTGAGTGTCTGGGAGCCCAGGAGGTGGACAAGAGGCAGCAGAGCTTCAGAAGGAAAGGTTTAGTTAGCACTCTGGTAACTTAAAAAAGTTGAGTTGAGTCAGGAGCTTGCTAAGTGGACAAGATCTTATATATGTGGATCACACCCTATGATGAGAGAAACTGAAGTTCTGGTAAGAGGAATCTGGAGCCCTGCAACTGACATAGTTCATTGCAATTGTAGCTGCCAGTTTTTGAGCTTCTGATTTGTTCCAGTACTGTGCACATACATCCCATTTCTGCTAATCCTGCAGGAGAAATAGCTTTGTCTCCAGAGGACTATATGAAGCTCAGGGAGGTTAACTGACTCTTCTAGTGGTTACACAGGAGTGAGGCAGAGTGGGAGTCACATCTCGCATTCCAAGCTCATGCTTGATTCCTCTAGACTGCCTTCTCTAGAAGCAGAGATAAGAACATGGTCTATGGAGTCATTCCCTGGGATCTTTCATGCCACTTCAGACAGCATGTTTACAAGTGCAAGCGATTTGAATATTATCCCTAGGAACTGGACGGGGAGTATGTTTTTTTTCTTTAGTATAGGTTGTTTAGCATGTGTTGTCTCTTTTACTTTAAAAATAGTACATGGTAATTGTAGAACATGTTGAAACAAAGGAAAAGCATAAAAAAGGAAGCACACATCACTCATAAGAGTTTGAAGTCAGGCTTTGCTACTTACCAGTTGTGTAATATTGGGCAAATCAACCCTTTAAGTTTCAGTTTCTATAAGTAAATACAACAATAATAGGGTTGTAAAGGTTTCCAGGGGCTGGTACATCATAAGCCTTAAGTAAAAGTGGACCTTTTTTTTTTTTTTTCTTTTTGCTAGATGTTTATTATTTAAGAACTTGAGATAAAAATCACATTGTATATAGTAATGTAAGTTTATAGTCTAAACATTGACACATTTGTGGTCCATTTCTGTTTAGAAGCAATTTCCTTTACACCATTGTGATGTGTATCATCTGTTTGCCTCTCTAGATACATGCTCCGTCTTTCTCTATCCAACTCTTGGCCCAGGTGGTTGCTCTTTATAGACTACATCAACAGTCAGTCTTGGTCTCTTACTTCATTGAGTAGGTCATTGGGGGTGAGGGAGGAGTGTGAAATGAGAGCCTTTATGGACCCTTATTTTTGTTGTAAGCACCACCCTGGGCCAGACACAATCGTGTTCTTCCTGTAACCTCAGTGCCTAGCTCAATGTGTCTCTGGAATGAAGAAATTAATTAATTCGTGAACAGATGAACCATGAAGCTAAGGAAATTGAGAGAAAATTTTGGGGGTAGGTGAGATAAAGGGCGGGGGCTATTGAAGAGTGGCCACCAGAGTTTTATTGCTCCCTGAAACAACTTCTGGAACATCGGATTGGAAACTACTTCTGTAGTCATATTTAGCCTTCCTTTCCACATTTCTATAGAACCAAGTATCAGGCTTCCAAGTAAGTGGGAAATCATAATTTACTGAAAAAGCCCTTCCCCTCAAATACTGATGCCAATTACTGTTTTAGTACCTGAAATCTGTACAGTTTATTTTCTCTTAAGCGTTAAGATTGTGTCTGGTTGAAGCTAATGCATGTCCCTTTCTTTCTTTTTTTAAAATTTAAGGTGAGGGAGAAAGATGAGGGAAGGTGTAAAGGGAAAGATGTACAGGTGAGACTTAGAGGAGTACCTCCAGTAAGGTGTCTTAAGGAGAAAGGTAGGCTTGCAGAAAGCAGAGGAGACAAGGAGACAGCGAGGAAGAAGCACAGGCGTAGTGGTGGAGATTAAGGAGAAGGAAAGTGATTACTAGTATCAAATGCTGAGCAACCCAGGAACCTGAACATTGAAGAGAGGCCTGAGATTTGACTAGAATGGCAGGTAATGTTCAGAATGGCAATTTGAGTGGAAGTGTGTGGGAACAGAAAGATTGCCAGTCACTAAGGGGAGAGTGAGGAGACCTGGGGTGCGGTTGGCAAATGCGTGACTGTTAGCTGAAAGGTTGGCATCTTGAACCCACCAGCTACTCCATGGGAGAAAGATGTGGCCATCTGGTTCTTCAAAGATTACCGCCTAGAAATCTCTGGACGGTTCTACTCTGACCTGTAGTATGGCAATGAGTTGACTTCAGCTCAGCAGCAGCGGGTTTAAGGAGCCTGTGGGTGGGCATTTGAGGCTTTGGTGCAGACTACTCGGTCTAGAAGTTTGGCAGCAAGTAAAGGAGAATGGGTCATAATTACAAGGGGGAAAAAGCCAACCCAAACGACTGCTGTTGAGTTGATTCCAACTCATCGCGACCCTGTATGGGACTGAGTGGAACTGCCAAGACCACACATCTTTACATTTTTCTTATGCAGAATAGCTTCTGGATTTGAACTGTCAGTCTTGTAGTTAGTAGTCCTATGCCTAACCCATAACGCCACCAGGACTCCTTGAGTATGTTTGTTTTGTGTGTGGTTGAATCTGTTATGACTCATAGCAGCCTTGTATAGGGTTTCTGAGGCTGTAAATCTTTGTGCAAACAGAAAGCCTCTTTCTCCCGTGGAGCAGCTGGTGGGCTCAAACTGCTGATCTTTGGCTAGCAGTTCAGTGCTTATCCTACAGTGCCACAGTGCTAACTTTACATTGTTTAGTTATTTAATTTTTTTTTTTTTTTTAATACAGCACTTTATTGGGTTGAGGTGAGTGTTAACAGACCGAACTCATTTTCCATTCAACAATTTATATACTGGTTGTTTCTTGATGTTGATTGCAATCTTTTCAGGTACCTCTCTTATTCTTCCCCCTGGTCTTATAGGTAAGAAAATGGGTTTTAGAAAGCCACTGCATTGAGCTTTTACATGAGGGATAATTTTTCTTCACAACACTTCTCTTAGGTAGGAGAAGACAAGCATGTTTCTGTTTGACTTGGACATTTTCACAGTAGGACTTGAGATCTGTGGGGGCACTCAGTATTTTGTCACCACCATTCTGCCTGTGTCCTCAGCATGCACTTGGTCAGTGTGCTTTGAGGCTCACTTCCACATTACAACCACTTGTTCTGGGTGGATAGCAGCAGGACAAGGTGATAGGTCACTGAAGACTGGGCTGTTTTACTGCTGTCTCTTTCTGGTTACATATTACTATTGGTGCTATGCCCTGCTGCCTTTGAGTCGGTTCTGACTCTTAGTGACGCTATAGGATGGGTTAGAACTGCTCCAAAGGGCTTCTAAGGCAGACTGCCACATTTTTCTCTCACGATTGACTGCTGCGTTCACATACCGCTAAGTGTTTGGTTAGCAGTTGCATGGACAACCACTGCACAACCAGGGCTCCCTGTTGGTACTGTCACTGCCCAAGTAGGAACACCTTATGCTGTGTAGTTCCTTGAACTTTTATCTTTGTGGTTTTTGTTTTTGATATTTTTAAAAATTCAAACCAAAATCAATTCCAAATGGATCAAAACCTAAATGTAAAAACGAAATCATGAACATGTTAGAGGAAAACATTGGGAGAATTTGAAAAACAGTCTGAGAGATAAAATTTTTTCTAAGCGACAGTCGACAAACTGGGGGGTGGAAATTGCAACGTGTATGAAGAGGACCAATTTTCTATTTATATGGTTGTAGAATCTGCGTCTAAATCAAGAGGAAAAATACAAAATAGAGAAATGGATGAAAACATGCATGTTCAGATGTTCATAGAAAAGGAAACTCAATTTGCTTCTAAACAAAATTTTCATCTATCAGATTGATAAAAAATGTTGGAGAGTACTATGTTGGTGATTGTATGGGAGAATAAATAGACACACATACTTTTCTGGCATGGTGTAAATTGGTACACCTGCCTTGGAAAGCAGTTTGGCAATTTGGAAAGGGAAATTAAAAATACACATACCTTTTGAGCTAATAAAACCACTTTTAGGCATTTATTCCATAGACTCACATAGCTGCACTACAAAGGGTGAACAAGGAGATTTGTTTAGAATAGCAGAGGGTTTGTCCTGACTTCAGATGATCTCTTTAAGAAATGTTAAGTGAAAAGAGAAGATGTGAAATAGTATATAATACTCTCTTTTGGGTTAAAAAATGCAGCTGGGGCCATATCCTTGTATATGATTAGACTATTTCTCTATGGGTGCAATGAAACTAGTTAGTGGTTGCTTTGGGGAAGGAACATGGGGGATTAGGTTGCAGATATGGGAGAGAATCTTGCTTTTCTCTTTTGTACCATTTGATGTGTTTATCATGTGTATGCATTACTTGGGGAGTTAGTGTGGTGCTGTAGAATAAGCACTGGACTGCTAACCACAAGGTTAGAGGTTCACATCCACCTTAGAAATCTAATTCAGGGTTGCTGTGAGTCGGAACTGACTCAGAGACACTTAACAACAGCAGCCTCCATTGTTGTTGTTAAGTGCTACTGAGTCAATTTCAACCCATAGTGACCCTGTATAGAGTTTACAAGGAGTGGCTGTTGAGCTTGAATTGCCAAATCTGTGGTTCAAACCAACTTTGCAGTCCAGCGCATTAACCCACAGCACCACACCAGGACTGCTGGGGGCTCGACCGGGATTACTGATGAAAAAGCAGCTGTCTGGTTAAGGGTATGTAGGTCATGCTATCCTGAACTTCTCAGGGCCAAGCGGTGATTTCTTTTATGCAGTTCTTAGCCAGGATCTGTCATTAAAGATTTATATTATATTTGCATTTTCTAGGAAATTTTATTCAGCCTATGGATCTGGTCAAAAAGCATTTGATCTCCTCAATCCAAACTTCAAGTCTACCTGTCAACGGTAAGTGATTTTACAAGTCTATTTCTTTCTTTGGTTTTTTTTTTAAGGATTTAGTTATCTGTTTGAGGAGTTGTGTTGGAATCCCCTTGAGGGAAAAGCTGTCTCTGAGTCACAATCAGCTCGATGGCCCACAGCAGTAATACAGGAGACCCTGGAACGAGCAGCATCACTTGGTAAGTCTAAATATACAGAACTAACACGTGGCTGCTTGGGATGCCAGGTTTGTGGAGAAGTACACTGAGCTGCAGACCCTCGGAGAGACTGATGAAGATAAGTTATTTGTGGAAACGGGGAAGGCCTTGTTGGCAGAAGGTATCATCTTAAGACGACTAGGAGAAGCCAGGACTGTGAGTATTAAAATTATTATGAGGATTAGTTGCTTGTTTGTCAGAGGTTAAAGGAAGGCTTGGTTTTCTTTCTCCAACCTTGGCTCATGTTTTTAAACTCCAGGTCAGATATTGTTTAGAGATAGGACTGTATTGGTTTGTGATAAGGACTACTATTTGGAATGAGTGATTGTCTTTAGGGCTTTTGAAATTGTGGTTCTCTGGAGATTATTGGGGGTCATGGTGTGGCGCTGTGGGTTAATATGCTGAACTGCAAAGTCAGTTTGAACCGCAAGGTCAGCAGTTCAAGCTCACCAGTCACTCCTGGAAAACCATATACAGGGTTGCTATGGGTCAGAACAGACTTGATGGCACCTAACAACATACAACAACAGCAAGAGATTATTGGAGTCTTGGGTGGTGCTATAGGATAAGCACTGAACTACTAACCATGAGGTTAGTGGTTCAAACCTACAAGTCGCTCTTTGGAAACTCATAACAGGCTTGCTGTGAGTTGGAACTGACTTGACAACACTTAATAACAACAGATTATTAATGTGTTTGTTATTTGTTATAATAGAATTTGACCTGTGCTATTAAAGTTAAAATTTTAACTTGATGACAGAATACTTAATCATAATGGCTTCAACCAGTTAATTAAGTGAAAATGTTAATATTTATGTGACGTTTATGTGATCTGTTCTTTTCAACAGCAGGAAGGTGGTCATATTTCCCAGAAATCTGAACACACAGATCTCAAAACCCTACTGATGTTGGAAGAAAACCAGCCTCAGCAAGTCCCCCAGGAGGAGCATTTGAAGGCACCTGAGAAACGGATGAAAGATCTCTCACCTTCCTGAAGGACTTGTGTACCATGTATACCGCCATCCAAACTGTATTCACTAAATGAATGTGGAACTATTTTTAACAGCTGAACTGTGTAAATGTTTCTTAATCTCTACGGCATTATGTTTGCCTTCTGTTAGTTCTTATTTCTGGGTTGTCATGAAACTGAGTACTGTGGTTTGAAAAAAGCAGTTATGTGAACTTTGATGTCAGGATGCTATTAAATAAAGAATTCTCTAGCTGCTTATAAAGTAAATTTACTTTGATATTGTAAATAACATGAGAAACTTTTATACATAATGTTTGAGGGGGACTCATTTTGAGTAGGTTTGCTTGGGTTTTTATGTTTACATGTGGGCTGCCTTAATTTGATTCTCTGGTATGTTTTTTTTTTCCTCTGGATCCAACAGACATTTACTTGTACATATTGTCTGGTCCCTTGGCCAACCATTTCTGTCTGTAGATCGTTTTAAATTTTTTTTCTATAAAACTATTGACCTTCACCTTGAGAGGCCAAGCTGACTTGTGGTTTGTAGTAAGAATAAGTACCTACCACTGATGATGGACAAAGGCCAAAAGTACAACTTTAATCTTATGGGTTGGTTTTGTTAGAGATGATTTAACATAGGCTCACACATAGTAAATACTTGTTGAATGAATGAGTGAATTGTTTAGTCCAGCTAAAGACTGACTTCAGATGGCAATTCTTGGATAACTTGACTGCCAAGAAGGAACGTGGCTCGTTTGATGGCACTGCCCACCCAGATTCCCTCTGCCTCCCAGGTGCTGAGGTGTACCTACAAGTCCTTATCAACTGTCCTGCCTCCCTCATTCCCCAATCTTTTACTGAGTAAATAACATCCTCTTATGACGTTACAGTTTTTGTATTTGTGACCAGGCCAATGATTTTTCAGTAATAAACTGGAGTCTTGGTGTGGTACTGTAGGATAAACTCTGGAGCTCAAGGTCTATTTGAACTGCAAGATCAGTGGTTCAAATCAATCAGTTGCTCATTGGAAACCCAATACAGGGTTGCTATGAGGAGCTGACTTGATGGTACTTAACAACAGTAGTAAACTTGGGAGTTCTGGTATGGCACTGTAGGATAAACACTGGACTGATAAACTGCAATGTTGGCAGTTCAAATCCACCAGTTGCTCTTTGGAGATCCTATACAGGGTCACTATGAGTTGGAACTGACTTAACAGCAATAAGAAGTAATGAGTGGCTTCAGGAACTCTTATTTTACAAACTCTTTTGGCTTTTCTATACTATGCTTTGTGTACAGCATCCTCTCTCTGGCAGTGGACTGGCAGGGCAGGGCCCTGTCCCACAGTCCTATCGTATCAGGTCATTGGGGACTATGACAAAAGCAGTTCTCAGGCTGCTTCCCGCCCACCCTGATCACTGTTTTAAAATTTCTCTTACTTGAAGAAGTAAATGCCATCCTTTCACAAACATTAGCTAGCTAACGACCCGATCTTGGAAAGACAACCTAGTGAGGTAGAGGAGAGATGGTGGTTCCTGTTCCCACATCAGTCAGAAGTCACTATGTTCCTGAGTTTTAGAAGGTCTTTTTTTTTTTTTTTTACCACAATGATTAATTTTTAATTAAAAAGTTAGTAATTACATAATTCTTTTTAAGAAAAATTACATATGCACAATGGTTTGAAACTTCATGGTGAAAAGTCAATTTCCCTTCCACTCAGTTTCCTTCCCTAAGACCACCCTCATCACCATTTCCTTATGTGGTTTTCCATAGCTATTTTGGGCATATCCAGAGGGACACTACGCAAACTGTCTTGACCGTATTTTCCCAGTTAGCCTGTGCGAATGCATCTGGATTTAGCCGTGCCAATTAATGAAAGTGTTGTTTCTATGTCTTACTATGCTAACCATGGGCCAGTATGTTGATGCATTCTTAGAAGTGGTACTGTGGGGTCAAGGAATAGCTCATCTTGAAGTTTGATAGATGATGTCTATGAATGTATCATCCGTAGAAATTGTACTAAGTTTTCTTCCCATTAGCCAGCCATATGTGAGAATGTGCACTCATCAGTGCATTCTGACCTTGTTAAACCAGCCTAGATTGCCCATGAAGTGGAGCAAGCAAGACCATCCCTTAGAACAACCACTAGCCAGATTTAGAGAATACAGAACTTTCCCCACAGTCCCTACAGTATTACAGAGAAGATCCTCATTCTGGACTCTAAGGAGCTTAAAATCTAGTTGGAAAGACGAGTGATCTGTGAAACAACCTGAAGAGCAATCATTTGAAGTTAGGATGTGAAAGTATGGCGGGGGTGGGTGGGGGAGTGAGGTCAGTGCTGGACTAGTCTGGGAGTGTTGCCTGGGGAGCCTTGAAGGGGGAGGGGGCATTGCAACGTGCCTGCTGCTGGTTCTGTCACTGTGGTCTATAGAAACCGCACCGCTGATGTCCCTTCAAACAATTTCTCTGCTTAGAAGCTTACCTAATGTTAGAAGCCAGCATCAAGTCCCTGTGGAGCCCTCTTCCCGGATGGCACTCCTGTGGGCCTTGCTGTAGTCCAGATGCCTTGTGTGTACCCATTTCCATCAAGCTGATTTTGACTCTTGGTGACACTGTTAGAGAGAAACACAGGGTGAGCTTGGCTGTTTATATACCTGCCTTATCATGGTGGCTTTACATTTAGGTGGTAACCTCCCTGTTAAATAACTTTCTCTGGTAAGACCGATCCTCTTATTCTGCTTTGTATCCACTGAAGCGCTGGGCAGTGCTTCTCAGGAAGTAGACCCTCCGTGTGGGTTTGCTGAGCTGAAGAAGTGGAAGGCTTGCCTCCATGTTACAGTGAGTGAAGTTTGCACAAGACAAGTCCAAAGATCTGGGGTCTCGTTCCTTTCGATGATGTGACTTTGTGCCTGTCACAACTCTCAGTCTGTGAAACTGGTCGTGTCTGCCTATTTGGCTTCCAGTTAGTATTACGAGGATTAATTGAATGAATGCAAAACGCATTCATCATGTATGTGGCAGATGCGTTTGTTACTATTTTGAGGAGTCATGGAAAAGAAGTTTGAGCAAATAGGATGGGGTCAGATTTATGGTGACCTTGAAAACTACACAAGGGAAGTTGGATATGGAGAAATTCTGGAGCAGGGAAAGGATGTGGCGAAAGCACGTCTAAGGAAGATTAACCTAGACCTGCTATAAAGAACGGGGCTGGGCGAGCAGGGTGGGCAGGGAGAGGAGACATGTCAGAGAGACCAAAGAGGAAGCAGGTGATTCTGAAATGACAAACCTGAGTGACCAGTAACATCACAAAGACAAAATGGGGCAGGGGCCTACTGCTGTCAGGGGGAGGACTGTATTTCTCAACATGCAACAGTCACATGGCAGAGGTCAAGGACATGAATCTGGGAAAGAAAACCCCTGATACAGAGGTTAGATTTGGAGCCAGGAGAATGAACTATTCAAGGGGGAGCAGAGGGACCCAGACTGCCGGGCTGGGCTAGGTTAACGCTCTCAAAGGACAGGGGAGGTAAAAAGCTAGCAGGACCTGGAGTCCCACAGCTCTCACCTGCTAAATAGCAAGACTTGTTTAAGTGGTCCTGTCTTCATCTGGACATTGAAGAGCCCTGGTGGCGCTGTAGGCTAAACACTGAACTGCGAACCACAAAATCAGCAGTTCAAACCCACAAGCCACTCCCTGGGAGTAAGAAGAGGCTTTCTGTTCTGCCTCAGAAACTCTATACAGAAAGGCTCTGAGTCGGAATCAGCCAGAGGGCAATGGATGTTTTAATTCTGGGTCTTCATCCTGTGTTAGAGTTCTTCCTTTGCTTATATTGGGGAGACCCAGTCTTTCATGGCCTGTTCTAAAAAGGCAAGCCCAATTCCTTTCTGTAATGAGAAGGGTGTCGAGTTCTCTGATAACAAAAGTGGTATTGAAGAATAATCGGGGTGTTCCCAGAGGACTCCTGATTTTGTGAAAGTGATTCCTTTCTCTCTAAATCAATGATGGCTTGTCATTTAAATATGTTCAATAGTTGTTGTTTTTAAGCAAAGTCATTCAAGTGGGATGATAAGTCATTCAAGTGTAACGTGCTGCTGGATTTTTTCCAGCTTTCTCCATCTTCAGTTTGTGACCAAGTCTGACTAGGCTCTGGGCTGGCTCCACAGGGGGTTAGGAAATAGGATACAATGAGGCAGTGATAGGGAGAGCAAGCTGGCACTGCCTCAGCTAGAGGCTGACAGAGCTAGCACAAAAAAAGGTGAGGCATGTAAGGGGGGCCTCTGTAACTTTGTTCCTGGTCTCCATGTTCCTGAGCTCTATTTCAGACTAGCCAAAGAGTGGAAGACTGATTCTAGCCAGGTTACGAAGGGTGCCACCTTGGATGGCGCTGTCTGAGCAGATGAGCAGGTTCAGTGAGCAACTTGGTTGAGGTCACCTTGGCTGGCAGAGGGAGGGCACCTGCCCTCCTGAGGAAAAGCCAGGAAATGGCTTTCCTGTCACTGTGAGGCAGTGCTCAATGTGGCGAGCAGGTTTCTGATTGGAGGAGCCCAGCGCTGAAGTAGTTTCTGTGCAGATGTGGAACTAGACTAGGGGCTCTTGCCGCAGCACAAAAATGAAAAGGTTGCCAGGGGAAAGCAAAGGAAATGAGAGAGTGAAGTGTTATGTTCTCTACAAAATGCTGCCGCCACCACCAACCCGCCATCCTTAACAGATTCCAGAGGGGGGTTTTGTTGAGTGCTAGTTGACAGCAGAAATGCATTTTGGAGGTAGTTTTACCCTCGATGGATGCTTTTCCTGGATTCCAACTTAAATGTCAGTCACCTGACCTTCTGGTTGCTCAGTTCTTTTAATTAAAAGATGGTTCTAAGCAACATCCACTAGTGGTCTATTTATTATTTATCAAGCAGTTTCCTTCCAGCAGTTAGTGAAAGGTCAGTGGCTTCAACGGGTGCTTTGTTTTTGGTGAGCAGCTTAGATGAAAAAGATATACAATCAATCTCTGCTCCCTCCTGTTTGCTTATGGGCAG